GACACATGATTGAGTTAGTATTACCCTCTTCTACTCTTCTTATTTATTCATAGTATTCTAGCGCAGCTCCTATATTCAACTCACATCACATATCATTTGTACCGCGGTTTTAATTAACTATGAAATACAGTGTTTACAAGGATCAAGTCAGAAGAGCCGGAAAGATGTTCACATGTCCACCAAACATTACATAGATACAAATATAACAATCTTCAAACAAGAATTAATTACACCGATCCTTTGAACAACTTTAMAAATTTTGCCTAATTAAAAAACTTCGAGACGTGGTTTTGAAGATTTTCCGTCACTCAAATCTCCATTACGTAAAGTCGTGAATCAGTTTTAACAAACTTAACGCGTACATTTAGCTTACTCATCGCTCATTGGTATTATTTGATGTGATTAGTGGACTAATTTACCTTATTTATCTGTTGATACTTCACCGAATGGACCACTTAGTGGTACTACAGGATATTGAGAAACTTTTAAATCAGGTGATATATATTTACGCAATTCGCTTCTCGCCTTAAAATAGTGGATTACATTTTTTTTCTTCTACGTCATGGATGAAGCACGAGTTTCCACGTAACGTCTAAAACTGACTGCCGCAAATCTATGGCTTTTTGGATTCAATACAAAGTAACACCGAAGTCAGAAGCAAAGAAGATGACAAAAATTAAATTTGCGATAAAAGGAATCGGAAACAAACAGAAAAGATTTACGCTTTGAAATTTTCAAAGTATCAGCTTTACGAATAAATGGAAATTACTTATGAAGAAAATTTCATTGTACAAAATGTATCAAATATATACAACAGCAACGCGTACATTTAAGTGCAAGATTTTTGTGTGGGATAAATACAGCGCGCATGGTCTTTAGTTATACTAATATAGCATRAATATGCTTATCGATAGACTTCGTCAGCTGCTGCCGTATTGATAGACAGACCGAGGAAATGACTCTCAAGGATAAAGGAATAGTTAGTTGACCAGGAAATCCCGACATCAATAGTTAATGGATTATAAACTTAGCGTAATTTGCTAAAGGAGTGTCTTTGTCGCTATATCGTGACCACAACAACTTTAAAAATCCTCTGCTTAATTTTGAAATAATAATCGTTCCATAATCGAATGGGAATTTAGAAGTTTTGCGGAGGGAAAAAACCGGGAAAATTACCTTCAAAGCACAGGAGAAGATTTCCTTTCCTAAAGCCAACTGGAAATTTTCTTGAAGAATTTTTTAAAATAGWTTCCGTTAATGGAATAAAAACTAACCTAATAGATTCTCTGTTAACCGGATTACTCGTCGAGAGAAGACTGAGTTGTCTTGCTAAATTCACGAAATCTTGGCTATGGGAAGCGCGATATTTGTATTCAACAAGAACAGCCAACTGGTAGTTTATACCAAGGTGTGAGTAGAAATATAGGTAAAACAACAAAGCTCCAAGATGTTGATGGATTCTGCAATGACATTGTTCTTTCGTGCTGGATTTAACAAGCCTTGCGCGAAGGAAAAAAATACTTACTCTCAAATTGACCAATATTAGGACCTATTCGATTAGGAAATTACAAAACCCTTYTACTTCTCTACTCTCTACTCGTTATAATTTATAGTGGTGCTAAAGAGCTAATTGTCAAGCCTAACAACGAGATTCAATGGTTAGCTTTTTAAAACATAAGATTTTAGAAGGCTATTTGATAATTCTGAAGACTTAGAAATGATAAATGATAGAAAAGTTTCAAACTAGCAAACTAACCTGTCGATATATCGTAGTGCTCGTGGATTACGAGTCCCTAGACTCCCTTCTGGCTCAATGTACTATTGAATTGCACGTTGTACACAAAGAGAGGCTGTATTTATCGTCATTTTTAACCGCCATAATGACTAGTTTTGTATTATTTGACAAGATAAATTAATGAATGAGTGATCCGGAAGCCGATGTAGGCCACGAAAGGAGTTGTATATAACATGACATTTTGAAAATCTACGCCAATATTTTTACAATTACCAAATTGTAAAACCATGATTTGCTCTTTCTAATTTCATTTTTGAATAAAAACTTTGACACTTTTAAGGACATCTTTCGTGTAGACTTCGCACTTGAAGGAAACTTAAAACTAGAGCAGAGGTGTTGAGAGTGTCTCTTGACTTGACTCTGGACGGTTAAAGTACGACATGTTGCATGCATCATGTCTGCTATATCCTTCCAAACATATCACGAAAAAACGAATTATTTGTATTTTTTGTTTAATCTCCCCTAGCTTTAGGAGCGTTTTTTTGTTGTTCTCATTATAGTTAGAGTTATTTTTGCAGCTTCTCAGTTTTCTCGGGGTTTTTCGAGTTCCCCGCCTTTCAGCCACACTCTTTAATTTAGCCAATTTATTCCTCGGATTTAAAAACTTCCCTTTCGAGTTATTTTTGGCTAGATTGATAGAAACGCTTCTCCTAATATCATTCCCAAACAAAAAATAGATTACAGTTGGAAACGGCGTATTTATCTAACTGTTCCTTGACGTAACAAACATTAGAAACGCTTAATTTTATCGATGATTTAATATATAAAATGTAAGGCGTTCTATGTCTAGTTAGAGTGGGATTCCTCCTAGCAAAGCTATTCTTGTAATACCTAAATAATGTCTTATATATTTAGAAGCCCTTGAAGGCAGTGATTTCGGAGAATTAGCGAAATCTGCCGATTCACGTGGGTTTTCATGGGAGAAACTAGTGGGGTGGATAATTGATATTTTTTTCTGAATATTTCCCCCCTAAATATACTTATAATCATATCATATTATTTCCGATTCGCAAGTATTCACAAATCAATAGTAATTTGAGAGTTACTTCAATGATCGAGAGAGTACAGACCCCTTGCACTGAGTCGCTAGAGGAATTGTTCTGGGGGAAAAAACAATGGATTTTTTTTTGCATAAGAAAAGACTGCCTATTGTGCTGTCCCCAGGCAATTCCTCTAGAAGATCAATGCAAGGGGTCTATTAAAAACAAAAATATGTGAAATAGAAGATTTAGTAATTTCCCTAATGATATAACATATCTTCCTCGATAGCATTACTTAACCTCACGAAACGAAAACGAACGCAACTGAACGTATAGCCTGGCATGGAACGACAGTGGTAAATACAACACGCATTGGCTGTCATTGGTTATCTAGTTAGCAAACCACAAGACGAGTACGAGGAAATGCCAGTTCAGTTATTTCAAAAAATATTCGTACTTCTCCCTTCACCCAAAACAAAAGCCAAAAAAACCTTAACCAGGGGATGCGAAATCTTTGTGAAAACCGAACTTAAACTTATTCAGTTAATTTTTTTGTAATAAAAAATTCTACTCATAATCGTTTTCTAAGAAACATTCATCGTTTCATTGTTTAGTCGACGGGGCCATTGAGTCGGGTTTTTAGTAGCGTGTGTAATGGTAAGCAGCCTATCACTTCAAATAATCCTTTCAAATCCTTAACAAGTTTTCTTCTCATCTATCATGAGTATCCGTCAAATATTTTCGACTTCTAATTTAATCATTTGATAATGACAGTTTTAATCGTTCTAGATATTATCGCTCTTTGTCCCTTGGAAGGAACACGGTTGGCACAACGGACATAATCATGACGATAAGAATTACTATTGCCAAATGGTCAGGAAATGAAGAGCGTCTTTTGTTTGTACATCTTCAAGGTGACTTCGAAATCTTCATCAATAACAACGCTTTTCTCTCGTTTGGAGAAAATTACGGAGTGTGACAGGATTTACAGTCTTAAGGAAACTTAAGATGACAGTTTTGGGTGATTGCTAATTGTAGCTCGTGCTTCGAGGGATGTGATAGTCAACAGCTGGGGCGTCTGTCGTTCAACTTCAAAATCGGATTTTGAAAATATAGAAATTTTATTGCAGAACACGGGTAAGCAATATAAGATTGTTCTACCTACGAAAAATAAGGTCCCAATTTCAATAAGAAAAATAAAAAGTATCGCGTTTGATTCGTATTAAACTTGTCGCCTCTACCAAAATTTATTGAAAAAAATCGTTAAACTTTCGCTTTACCGTTATTGTACCCTTCGTTCTGATTTTTCACAGTTGTAAGAAGCCAAGTGAGCATTGCGTCACGACAATGCGTAGGAGACTAAAGAAGTCATAGCCAAAATATTACACCTGGTCGTGTGGCTCATAATCCTAGAGGTAATATGTTATCGAAGCATGAGTCACTAACCTGAATAATGAATCAATGTTCTTCACCAAATAAAGACACGTAGAACTCCGGAACTGACATTTCTTTCCTGTATTTCTTTACGATATCCTGGATTTTCAGCTTTCGGCAAACTTGAGGGGGAGAATAACTGGAAAGATATACAGAATATCGCTCAGAACTAGAATATAATGTAGTATATCACGCTCGCTCGCTTTAATGGCACGCAGAGTGCATTCTGGTCTAGCTTGGGGTACAAACGAGCGACCACACATAGTGTGTAGCACAGCCCAAGGGTTTTTGGTTGCGATCAGTCAAAAAATACTAGGACCGCTGCAAATTTAATTGAAGGAAGCCAAAAACGTAGTATTGGTCGCGTAGTTTTGAGAATGGAATCATTAAATAATATGTTCTAACAATGAAATGAAGTTAGGGAAATGAGAATAATAATTGGGTTATGTCTGTGTAAAGGTCCTGGTAAGGGCAAGTCGTGCCATAACCGTTCCTTRTCAACGCATTCTAATTGGTTGACTAGTGAATTCGCGCACTGTGGTTGGTTCAACGGAAATGAAGTCAATTCCGTTCCTTGTCTGCGCATTCTAATTGGTTGACTAGTGATTTCGCGTGCTGTGGTTGGTTCAA